GCAACTCACGTGTATCGCTGGCAACTCACGTGTATCGCTGGCAACTCACGTGTATCGCTGCAACTCACGTGTATCGCTGCAACTCACGTGTATCGCTGCACCTCACGTGTATCGCTGCAACTCACGTGTATCGCTGCAACTCACGTGTATCGCTGCAACTCACGTGTATCGCTGGCAACTCACGTGTATCGCTGCAACTCACGTGTATCGCTGCAACTCACGTGTATCGCTGGCAACTCACGTGTATCGCTGCAACTCACGTGTATCGCTGGCAACTCACGTGTATCGCTGGCAACTCACGTGTATCTCTGCAACTCACGTGTATCGCTGCAACTCACGTGTATCGCTGCAACTCAAGTGGATCGCTGCAACTCACGTGTATCGCTGCAACTCACGTGTATCGCTGCAACTCACGTGTATCGCTGGCAACTCACGTGTATCGCTGCAACTCACATGTATCGCTGCAACTCACGTGTATCGCTGCAACTCACATGTATCGCTGCACCTCACGTGTATCGCTGCAACTCACGTGTATCGCTGGCAACTCACGTGTATCGCTACACCTCACGTGTATCGCTGCACCTCACGTGTATCGCTGCAACTCACGTGTATCGCTGGCAACTCACGTGTATCGCTGGCAACTCACGTGTATCGCTGCAACTCACGTGTATCGCTGGCAACTCACGTGTATCGCTGCAACTCACGTGTATCGCTGCAACTCACGTGTATCGCTGCAACTCACGTGTATCGCTGCAACTCACGTGTATCGCTGCAACTCACGTGTATCGCTGGCAACTCACGTGTATCGCTGCAACTCACGTGTATCGCTGCAACTCAAGTGGATCGCTGCAACTCACGTGTATCGCTGCAACTCACGTGTATCGCTGCAACTCACGTGTATCGCTGGCAACTCACGTGTATCGCTGCAACTCACGTGTATCGCTGCAACTCACGTGTATCGCTGCAACTCACATGTATCGCTGCACCTCACGTGTATCGCTGCAACTCACGTGTATCGCTGGCAACTCACGTGTATCGCTACACCTCACGTGTATCGCTGCACCTCACGTGTATCGCTGCAACTCACGTGTATCGCTGGCAACTCACGTGTATCGCTGGCAACTCACGTGTATCGATGCAACTCACGTGTATCGCTGGCAACTCACGTGTATCGCTGCAACTCACGTGTATCGCTGCAACTCACGTGTATCGCTGCAACTCACGTGTATCGCTGCACCTCACGTGTATCGCTGCAACTCAAGTTTATCGCTGCAACTCACGTGTATCGCTGCAACTCACGTGTATCGCTGCAACTCACGTGTATCGCTGCAACTCACGTGTATCGCTGCAACTCACGTGTATCGCTGCAACTCACGTGTATCGCTGGCAACTCACGTGTATCGCTGCAACTCACGTGTATCGCTGCAACTCACGTGTATCGCTGCAACTCACGTGTATCGCTGGCAACTCAAGTGTATCGCTGCAACTCACGTGTATCGCTGGCAACTCACGTGTATCGCTGCAACTCACGTGTATCGCTGCAACTCACGTGTATCGCTGCAACTCACGTGTATCGCTGCAACTCACGTGTATCGCTGCAACTCAAGTGTATCGCTGCAACTCACGTGTATCGCTGCAACTCACGTGTATCGCTGCAACTCACGTGTATCGCTGCAACTCACGTGTATCGCTGCAACTCACGTGTATCGCTGGCAACTCACGTGTATCGCTGCAACTCACATGTATCGCTGCACCTCACGTGTATCGCTGCAACTCACGTGTATCGCTGCAACTCACGTGTATCGCTGCACCTCACGTGTATCGCTGGCAACTCACGTGTATCGCTGCAACTCACGTGTATCGCTGCAACTCACGTGTATCGCTGCAACTCACGTGTATCGCTGCAACTCACGTGTATCGCTGCAACTCACGTGTATCGCTGGCAACTCACGTGTATCGCTGCAACTCACATGTATCGCTGCACCTCACGTGTATCGCTGCAACTCACGTGTATCGCTGCAACTCACGTGTATCGCTGCACCTCACGTGTATCGCTGCACCTCACGTGTATCGCTGCAACTCAAGTGTATCGCTGCAACTCACGTGTATCGCTGCAACTCACGTGTATCGCTGCAACTCACGTGTATCGCTGCAACTCACGTGTATCGCTGCAACTCACGTGTATCGCTGCAACTCACGTGTATCGCTGCAACTCACGTGTATCTCTGCAACTCACGTGTATCGCTGCAACTCACGTGTATCGCTGCAACTCACGTGTATCGCTGGCAACTCACGTGTATCGCTGCAACTCACGTGTATCGCTGCAACTCACGTGTATCGCTGGCAACTCACGTGTATCGCTGCAACTCACGTGTATCGCTGGCAACTCACGTGTATCGCTGGCAACTCACGTGTATCTCTGCAACTCACGTGTATCGCTGCAACTCACGTGTATCGCTGCAACTCAAGTGTATCGCTGCAACTCACGTGTATCGCTGCAACTCACGTGTATCGCTGCAACTCACGTGTATCGCTGCAACTCACGTGTATCGCTGCAACTCACGTGTATCGCTGGCAACTCACGTGTATCGCTGCAACTCACATGTATCGCTGCACCTCACGTGTATCGCTGCAACTCACGTGTATCGCTGCAACTCACGTGTATCGCTGGCAACTCACGTGTATCGCTGCAACTCACGTGTATCGCTGCAACTCACGTGTATCGCTGGCAACTCACGTGTATCGCTGCAACTCACGTGTATCGCTGGCAACTCACGTGTATCGCTGGCAACTCACGTGTATCGCTGCAACTCACGTGTATCGCTGCAACTCACGTGTATCGCTGCAACTCAAGTGTATCGCTGCAACTCACGTGTATCGCTGCAACTCACGTGTATCGCTGCACCTCACGTGTATCGCTGCACCTCACGTGTATCGCTGCAACTCAAGTGTATCGCTGCAACTCACGTGTATCGCTGCAACTCACGTGTATCGCTGCAACTCACGTGTATCGCTGCAACTCACGTGTATCGCTGGCAACTCACGTGTATCGCTGCAACTCACGTGTATCGCTGGCAACTCACGTGTATCGCTGCAACTCACGTGTATCGCTGCAACTCACGTGTATCTCTGCAACTCACGTGTATCGCTGCAACTCACGTGTATCGCTGCAACTCACGTGTATCGCTGCAACTCACGTGTATCGCTGCAACTCACGTGTATCGCTGGCAACTCACGTGTATCGCTGCAACTCACGTGTATCGCTGGCAACTCACGTGTATCGCTGGCAACTCACGTGTATCGCTGGCAACTCACGTGTATCGCTGCAACTCACGTGTATCGCTGCAACTCAAGTGTATCGCTGCAACTCACGTGTATCGCTGCAACTCACGCGTATCGCTGCAACTCACGTGTATCGCTGCAACTCACGTGTATCGCTGCAACTCACGTGTATCGCTGGCAACTCACGTGTATCGCTGCAACTCACATGTATCGCTGCACCTCACGTGTATCGCTGCAACTCACGTGTATCGCTGCAACTCACGTGTATCGCTGCACCTCACGTGTATCGCTGCACCTCACGTGTATCGCTGCAACTCAAGTGTATCGCTGCAACTCACGTGTATCGCTGCAACTCACGTGTATCGCTGCAACTCACGTGTATCGCTGCAACTCACGTGTATCGCTGCAACTCACGTGTATCGCTGCAACTCACGTGTATCGCTGCAACTCACGTGTATCGCTGCAACTCACGTGTATCTCTGCAACTCACGTGTATCGCTGCAACTCACGTGTATCGCTGCAACTCACGTGTATCGCTGGCAACTCACGTGTATCGCTGCAACTCACGTGTATCGCTGCAACTCACGTGTATCGCTGGCAACTCACGTGTATCGCTGCAACTCACGTGTATCGCTGGCAACTCACGTGTATCGCTGGCAACTCACGTGTATCGCTGCAACTCACGTGTATCGCTGCAACTCACGTGTATCGCTGCAACTCAAGTGTATCGCTGCAACTCACGTGTATCGCTGCAACTCACGTGTATCGCTGCAACTCACGTGTATCGCTGCAACTCACGTGTATCGCTGCACCTCACGTGTATCGCTGGCAACTCACGTGTATCGCTGGCAACTCACGTGTATCGCTGCACCTCACGTGTATCGCTGCAACTCACGTGTATCGCTGCAACTCACGTGTATCGCTGCAACTCACGTGTATCGCTGCAACTCACGTGTATCGCTGCAACTCACGTGTATCGCTGCAACTCACGTGTATCTCTGCAACTCACGTGTATCGCTGCAACTCACGTGTATCGCTGCAACTCACGTGTATCGCTGGCAACTCACGTGTATCGCTGCAACTCACGTGTATCGCTGCAACTCACGTGTATCGCTGGCAACTCACGTGTATCGCTGCAACTCACGTGTATCGCTGGCAACTCACGTGTATCGCTGGCAACTCACGTGTATCGCTGCAACTCACGTGTATCGCTGCAACTCACGTGTATCGCTGCAACTCACGTGTATCTCTGCAACTCACGTGTATCGCTGCAACTCACGTGTATCGCTGCAACTCACGTGTATCGCTGGCAACTCACGTGTATCGCTGCAACTCACGTGTATCGCTGCAACTCACGTGTATCGCTGGCAACTCACGTGTATCGCTGCAACTCACGTGTATCGCTGGCAACTCACGTGTATCGCTGGCAACTCACGTGTATCGCTGCAACTCACGTGTATCGCTGCAACTCACGTGTATCGCTGCAACTCAAGTGTATCGCTGCAACTCACGTGTATCGCTGCAACTCACGTGTATCGCTGCAACTCACGTGTATCGCTGCAACTCACGTGTATCGCTGCACCTCACGTGTATCGCTGGCAACTCACGTGTATCGCTGGCAACTCACGTGTATCGCTGCACCTCACGTGTATCGCTGCAACTCACGTGTATCGCTGCAACTCACGTGTATCGCTGCAACTCACGTGTATCGCTGCACCTCACGTGTATCGCTGCACGAACGCGCGGTAGGCGGGCAGCAGCACCTCAGCGATCTGCAGCTGCACGGCGGATCGCAGCTCGGGGTCGGGGATTTTCCACATGCACTGCGAGCGATGCAGCTCCTCAAACGTGGCGTTGAACACTCGAAACCTGGGAAACGGAGGTGAGGAAGATATGACAGAAGAGTTTTGAGACGTCTCAAAACGAGGAAGATATGACAGAAGAGTTTGCTTGCATGCATGGCATCGTGCATGATCTACCACATGCACTGCGAGCGATGCAGGCCCTCAAATGTGGCGTTGAACACGCAGAACATGCAGAGCCGAGGCAGTCAGCAAAATCAGAGGATTGCCAGTGGAGCACATGATCGGCTCATTAACGCGCTGCTTTTCAAGTTGAAAACGGAAACAGAAAGGACAAAACAACAAAACAAAAAAAAAACAAAAAAACAAAACAAAACAAAACAAAAAACCTGAACGCCTGAAACCCCATCAGCCCCTGTATCTGCTCCCCCCTGCCACACCCCCTCCATTCCCACCTCTTTTCCCTTGCACTTCCCTTCGCTCCTTGCACTTCTGTTCTCCCCTTCCCCCTCGCACTTCTCTACCCCCTCCTCCAACCCCACCCTCACACTCCCCTCCCCTCCTTCCCCCTCCTCACACATCTCGTCCGCTCTTCCGCCTCCCAAGCACACCCCCCTTCCTCCCTCCCCGTTCTTCCCCGTCGCACCTCTCTTTGAGAGAGCTACAGTACACACTTTCTGCCTTCCATCCCCTTTTCCCTTTCCCCACCACTCTCCCTTACCTGGCCTCTTTGCACCTCTGCTCCCCTTCTTCGAACCTCTTTTGAGAGCGTTGCGGGTTACACTGCCCTCTTTGCACCATTCCCCACATCTCCCCCCCACTCCCCCCCCCCCCTCTCCCCCTCCTAGTCCCATCTCCCCCCCCTCCCCCCACCCCTCCCCTCAACGTTTCTTTGAGAGCGCTGCGGCTCACACTGCCCTCCTTGCCATCCGCTGACAGCCCCACCACTCCACGCACATCTATTTCCCCTCTTCCTCTCCCCAAGAAGAACTCCGCCCCAAACCCCCCCCCACCCCCCCACCTCCTTCCCCTCCCCTCCCCCTCGCACCTCTCTTTGAGAGCGCTGCGGCTGACACTGCCCTCCTTGCCGTCCGCATTCAGACCTGCTGACGTCAGCAGCCCAAAAATCTGGCGGGCAGCGAAGAGAGAGAGAGAGGGGAAGGATGGGGAAGGGAGGGGAGTGGGGCAAGGGATTGAGTGAGCGGGGCAAGGGATTGAGTGAGCGGGGCAAGGGATTGAGTGAGCGGGGCAAGGGATTGAGTGAGCGGGGCAAGGGATTGAGTGAGCGGGGCAAGGGATTGAGTGAGCGGGGCAAGGGATTGAGTGAGCGGGGCAAGGGATTGAGTGAGCGGGGCAAGGGATTGAGTGAGCGGGGCAAGGGATTGAGTGAGCGGGGCAAGGGAAAGAGGGAGTGGGTGTAGGAAGGGTGGAGGGAGGGAGGAAGTGGAGAGAGGGAGTGGGGCAAGAAAGAGAGGGCGTGGGGCAAGGGAGAGAGAAAGGAAGGACAGTGTAGTGACTGCTGTGGAGAAGCAGAGGTGGAGTGACAGGGATTGAGGCTACAGCAGACTGAAAGTTATAGTGAGCGGCGAAGAGAGGGGCAGGATGGGGAAGGGAGGAGAGAGGGTGATGATTGTTACAGAGAGAGCATGCAGTGCTAGTGGGAGGGGCGATTGGGAAGAAGAATGAGCAGATTTGAAGGAGAGGTGTGCATTATTGCATCAAAAAGCACCACCGTTCCTCATCCCCCCCTTCCTCCTACCCACCTTGTTCCAGGACGTGCGTTGGTACGCAGCGGCATGTTGCTGCACGATGCGCCGCTGCCGGTCGATCCAGTCCTTCCCCACCACCTCCTTCAGCTCGCCCCTGAGGGGAAGGGGGAAGGAGAAAGGGGGGAGTGGGGAGGGTGGAGGGGGAGTGGAGGGTGGAGGGGAACGGGTGTTTGAGACGCCTCAAAGACTGCACGATGCGCCACTGCCAGTCAATCCAGTCCTTCCCCACCACCTCCTTCAGCTCGTCCCTGCGCTAAAGGAGATGTGAGATTGAAGATTAGATCTAGTTCACCTCCTCATCGTGCCCGTCAATCATCCGGCCTTTCCCGAGCCGGATATTCGGCCCGCCCAACCACAAAAAGGTGGGCCGTGCCCGGGCCTGGCCGGCCCAGACCGACTCAGCCCGACGGGCCGAACGCATCGGCCTGGCTCGGCCAATCGGGCCGGACTGGGCCTGGGCCGGACCAGCCCGCAGGCCGACATGAGCTCATCCCTATGGAGGAGGGCTAGCGCTAAGCTAAGCAGCATGTGTGCAGGCGCCAACGGAAGCTGCCCAGGTATGATTGCTCTCCAATCAACCCCACCGTACTTTCTCACAGCTTGCACCCTAAACCCCTCAATCCCTTCCCACTCCGCCTTCAACCCCTCAACCCCTCTCCGCCCCTCTCAACCACTCACTTTCTCACAGCATGCACGATGTAGTGCACGTTGTTCATGAGGAAGAGTTGTGTGAGCGCCGGGTCGCGGTAGAGCTTGCTCTTCCTCTCCAGGTTGGCGTGCAGCGCCGCAAAGATGCGGATCGTGGCCTCGCCAAACAGGTTCTCCCGCCCAAACAGCTCCTGCATGGTCACCTGGTAGCTGATGGGGTGAAGGGGGGTGTGGTGTGGGGAGGGAGGGGGCGAAAGGGGAGCGGTAGAGCTTGCTCTTCCTCTCCTGGTTGGCGTGCAGCGCAGCGAAGATGCGGATCGTGGCCTCGCCAAACAGGTTCTCCTGCCCAGACAGCTCCTGCATGATCGCCTGGTAGCTGAATGGTGGAGAGTGGGTGGGGGGAAAGGAAAGGGGGAGAGGAGGTAGTAAGGGAGAGAAGATGCGGATCGCGGCATGGTCGCCTGATAGCTGATTGGTGGGGGGGGGGAGAGCCAGGGGGGAGGTAAAAGGGAGATGGGGTAGGGGCGAAGAAAGGTGAGGATGGTGGCTTCGCTGAGGAGCTCCTGCATGGTGGCCTGGTAGCTGGTGGGGGGGAGCGGGGGAGGGGAGAGGAAGGGGAGATGACAGGAAGCGGAACGGGAGGGTAATTGGGAGGTGACGGGAAAAGGAATGCGACGGGAATGTTGGTGCAACCCCATTGCTTGCACTCAGCTTGTTGTCCTTGTGCGTGCGTATTTGTTTGCATGGAATGGTATGAGAGCATGAGATAATATATATATATATATATATAGAGTGTGTGTGAATGATGAGTCATGATGTCGAATATGTGTCGAGTCAATAGCGTGTTTCCGCTAGTCGCTCGTCACATCGTCGTTTGTGTGTTGTGTGCGTTTTCTATTTTGTCGAGTGTCGAACGTTCGACGCGTCGCAGGTGCTCGAAGCAAACTTCCAAGAACTCAAGGAAGAGTTTATGGTGAAGACACAGAGCCTTGGTTACAAGTTTCGAGTAATTCCGGAGCTCGCCAATACGGTAAACACCAAGAAGGTGAAAAGACTTACACTGTACTGTACTGTGTAACATTTCTCTTGACGTAGGCTCTTATGGTGGGTAGTTTCGAGACCCTTCGTGGTTGGGGACTGTGTGGTAATGTTCCACCCCCCTGTACATCGACTCTTCGACTTTGTAGAGGCTGACAGTCATTCTCAACTCGTCACTTTTTCCTAAGTTGTGCTCTAAAACGAGGGTTGCTGCTAGACCGCAGTTCACTCAAACTTTTGTCACGTCGTCCAATCTTACTCAAATCGAGTGATTTAAATTGTTTAATGTAGGCAACGTTAGGGCGCTCCAAATCCAATTTATAGCATGTGATTCGAAGCTGTGACCAGAACACTATCAACATTTGAAGCCGCTCTGCCGAAATCCGTATGTGCACTCTATCTTTCGTTCTAAGCACATTTGAGCCTATTGTGACTAAAACAGGAAAGAGGACGGGGAGGGGAACTGGGAGGTGAAGGAAAGAGGAAGGTGAGGGTACAACGCGAGGGGAAGGGGAGAGAAGGGAAGTTCTATTAGAGACGTCTCTCAGTAGCGATATGGTACTTCTGGTGAGGCCAAGCATGTGGCCCTTTTTTGAGACGCCTCAATATTTTGTAAGCGTCAAAACGGAAGGGACAATAAAGCTACGCACTCGTACAGGTATTTAAGGTAGGTGACGATGTAGCGTGTATTTGAGGCCCTGTATGCATGCACACGGTGTCATCGGGTGTTGACAAATGTCCAAACCCATGGATACAATACAAGGACTGCTCATACAGGTATTCGAGATAGTTGACAACGTAGCTGGTGAGCCCGTGCGTGGCGCCCCAATTTGTGACCCCCCCACTTCCCCCCCCCCAAAAAAAACGTACTCATGGAGGTAGTATTTGAGTTAGTTAACCATGCATTGGGTAAGTTCGTGCGCAGCCTTTTATCGCGAAGTCTCAACTTTACATGAGAGCAGAAAAAAAAAAAAAAAAAAAAAAAAAAAAAAAAAAAAAACCAAGTAACGTACTCGTAGAGGTATTTGAGGTAGTTGACGACATAGCTGGTGAGGCCGTGTGTGGCGCCATCGGGCAGCACCTTGTCGCTGTCCTCACTCTCCACTGCGAGCTCAAAGTTGTTGAACGCCTCCTTGGCCGCCGCCGCCAGGTGCTGCAGCAGCTGCTGCGCACTGCCCCGTATGGCGTCACAGGCTGACCCCGCAAACACCACCTCCACCTGGAGCAGGAGGGTAATGAATTGGGAGGTGATATGGATGTTGCGCCACCGCCACGTGCTGCAGCAGCTGCTGCACGCTGCTCCGGATGGCATCACACTCCGGGTCGGCAAACACCACTTCTACCTGTATGGAGCAACTCAGATTGGGGGAGAGGGGTAAAACGCAGTGCAGGTGGGTCATTTGCACAACACAGGGGGAGGTGATAAAAGTGCCACCGCTGCTCTGCAGCGCTTTGCCCCAAATGGCCTCACACGCTGGGCCCACAATCACGAGGGTCCACCTACAGCCCAGTACAGGGTTGGGGAGAGTGGTAGTTGGGAGTGGCAGGCAGGTGGGATACGAGACGAGAACAAACAGCGAGAAGTCTGACAAGACGATAAGAGTGCAGCTGTCTTTCATCTGTCTGCCAGGTGTGGCCGGCAGCTGGTGTTGTGCGAGCCGCCCTGACGACTTTTTAGGCGCCTCATAAGTCGTCTCTATAACCCGCAATGAGTGCTGCTGTTTCTGCCAGGTGTGGCCGGCAGCAGATGCTGTCGGCCTCTCAATCACCTGTGGCATCAAAGCCCGCATGGCCTCTCACTCATCCCCCATGGTAGCCCCGGCCTCGTGCCTACCCAACACTCCATGGTACTCCAGCCCTCACCTGTGGCATGAGGTCACGCATGGTCTCGTACATGACTTCTTGCTGCGAGCCACGGCCTCCCGAAAGCCAAACAGCATGGCGACACTCACCCCACCCACCCCATGGTAATCCAGCCTCATATGTGGCATGGCATGAAAGCAAGGCGCTCACCTGAGGCATCAAGTCGCGCATGGTCTCGTACATGTCCATCAGCACCGACACCTTCTCGGGGGACTTCTTACTGCGCGCCACGGCCTCCCCGAAGCCAAACAGCATCCCCAGCGTGAGCCCCGCCAGGTCCGCAAACGCCTTGCCTGTGTGTGGCTCTAAGCCTGCCAGCACTGTTTCGCACAGCTCTCGCTCTGCCATGAACACCACATGCACCTGCGGGAGGGACATGAGGTGATAAAGAGGAGGAGAAGGTGGGTGGGGGGACGGGTGAGTGAGTGAGAGACAGAGAGGGGAGCAGTGGTGATAGGGCAGCGGTGCCTGTGCCTGTACCCGGTGCCACCACCTCCCGGAACCCAAACAGCATGCCCGGCGTGAGCCCCGCCAGATCCGCAAACGCCCAGCCCGGCTAGAACCGTCTCACACAGCTCTCGCTCTGCCATGAACACTACATGCACTGGCGGGAATGGGAAGGGTGGGGGTGGGAAGCGGTGGAGGTGGGTGGGGGGCAGTGGGGTGTCGAGGGTGTATAGTGTTGATAGAGAGCTTGTGTGCGGCTCCAACCCTGCAAGGACCGTTTCGCAGAGCTCCCTCTCCGCCATGACCACCACGTGCACCTGGGAGACGGACGGCGGGTAGACAGGGGAGGGGCGGGGGATCGGGGGGTGAGTGACAGGCAGACAGAGAAGCAATGGTGTTAGGATGGTTTTGAATGTGCCACCACCTCCCCGAAGCCAAACATCATGCCAAGTGAGCCCCGCCAGGTCCACAAACGCCTTGCCTGTGTGCGGCTCCAACCCTGCAAGCACCGCCACTCGGCCTGCTCTGACTCACCGCCAGCCTGCCCTGACAGACTTTTGAGTCAACGATTTTCTAGTCGATATATTTGAGTAAAAGGTTTGTAGTCGACTCACCAATCTGCTCTGACTCACCGCACGCCGGGTCTGCGGTCGCCACCCCTCAATGCCCTTCTCAAGCTCCCCCCACATCATGGCGTCCATCTGCTTGCGGGTGAGCAGAGCTGACCTATGGGTCGACCACCTTTTATTCGACTGTTTCTGAGCCGAGTATTACTCAGACAATTCTGTCAAATCATCAATCTGCTCTGACTCACCGCCAGCCTTGTCTGCCGCCGCCACCCGTCGATACGTTTCTCCAGCTCCCGCCACGCCGTGGCGTCCATCTGTTCCCAGCTGAGCTGAGCTGCCTTCTCAGCCGACCATTTTCCAGTCGACCACCTAAGGTCGACTGTTTCTGAGCCGAGAGTTTTTTAATCAAGTAATCTGTCGAAATCATCCATCTGCTCTGTCTGACTCACCGCCAGTCAGGTCTGCCGTCGCCACCCCTCGATACGCTTCTCCAGCTCCCCCCATTTGAGTCAAACATACAAAGTCGCCTCACCCTCTGCGTGACTCACCGCCAGTCTGGTCTGCCGTCGCCACCCCTCGATACGCTTCTCCAGCTCCCCCCATTTGAGTCAAACATACAAAGTCGCCTCACCCTCTGCGTGACTCACCGCCAGTCTGGTCTGCCGTCGCCACCCCTCGATACGCTTCTCCAGCTCCCCCCATTTGAGTCAAACATACAAAGTCGCCTCACCCTCTGCGTGACTCACCGCCAGTCTGGTCTGGCGTCGCCACCCCTCGATACGCTTCTCCAGCTCCCCCCATTTGAGTCAAACATACAAAGTCGCCTCACCCTCTGCGTGACTCACCGCCAGTCTGGTCTGCCGTCGCCACCCCTCGATACGCTTCTCCAGCTCCCCCCAGGACATGCCGTCCATCTGCTCGCGTGTGAGCTTCTCCACGGCAATGCGCTTCAGCCCTGCCTCCACCATCGTGCCTCGCACCTCGCTGGTCGTCAGTGGGAGAGTGTAGTGTGAGAGGGGGGGAGAGAGTGAGGAAGAGCGGGCTTCGCTTCTCCACGGCAATGCGCTTCAGCCCCGCTTCCACCATTGTGCCTCGCACCTCGCTGCTCAGGGGGGGAGGGAAGAGAGTGTGAGTGTGGGAGTGTGGCAGTTTGTGTGTATGTGCGAGTGGGAGAGGGTGAGAGTGAGCTTCTCCACGGCAATGCGCTTCAGCCCCGCCTCCACCATCGTGCCTCGTACCTCGCTGGGTGAGTGTGGGTGTGTGTGTGAGTGGGTGGGAGAGGAGAGGAGAGAGTGAATGTTGTTAGAAATAGTCAGTCAACACTTTGTACTATATTCTATATCGGTTAGGTTACTTTGTAGGTTGGGTGTAGATTTGTAATCCCAACCCTATCTGGTTGGGATTCCCTCGTAATCCTGCAAATCTGCCAACTCACCAATTGGAGATTTGCTAGGATTCCCATCCCATCCTTTCCCTAGCTTTGCTCAACCCAACCCTGTTTGTACTTAAGGCCTAGTGCCTTCCTTATCAAGCAATCAGTTCAATTCCAATTCTATCATGGTATCAGAGCTAGTAAATTCCGCTCACGCGGAATCCGATCCTTGGCGTCCCGATGGTTCTCTCCTTTTAGGCTATGCCTATTTCGGTTCCCGGCTCCTACGCTTAGCGTTTTTCAGAAACTTCACATCGTCGCTCTGGTCAAGCGCGCATTCGGCTTCCTTCATCGCGCATCTCGTTTTTCAACGGCGACATTCTCAGCTTTCGACTTCCTTCATCGTAAGCTTCTGGTTTTTATATCTCCGTGGCAATTTTCGCATCTTCTTAACTTCGAACAGGTTTTCAGCGGTGCAGCGGAACAGGTCCAGCGGCGCAGTGGAACAGGTTTTCAGCGGCGCAGCGGAACAGGTCCAGCGGCGCAGCGGAACAGGTTTTCAGCAGCGCAGCGGAACAGGTCCAGCGGCGCAGCGGAACAGGTTTTCAGCGGCGCAGCGGAACAGGTTCAGCGGCGCAGCGGAACAGGTTCAGCGGCGCAGCGGAACAGGTTCAGCGGCGCAGCAGAACAGGTTCAGCGGCGCAGCAGAACAGGTTCAGCGGCGCAGCAGAACAGGTCAGCGGCGCAGCAGAACAGGTCAGCGGCGCAGCAGAGAAGCGGAACAGGGGCAGCAGCGAAGCAGAACAGGGGGCATTGGCGAAGCAGTATATCAGGGTATAGTACGGGCATTCTATTGCCAAAATCGCGTTTCGAACTTCCTCAATTTCCAAAATCACCCGAACTCCGCTCCGCTACGTATCGGAGACTTTAGCGCTGCACTCCGCGCGAAATGGCAACTTCAACTTCCACTCTCGTCGGAAACCTCATCATCCTTAACCTCGCTCCCAACGGCACGAGCACCAATTTCGGGGAGTGGTGCTATGGAGTGGAGAAGCACCTCCTTAGCTCGGAGCTCAAGGGGATTTGCCTCAAGGACATCCTCCTCAATCGCGGCAAGGGGAAGATGCCTCTCCCTCCCGATCCTCTCGGCGAAGGCGCCACTGCCACAGCCAAGCTTGCTTTCGACGCTAAAACCACCAAGTATGAGACGGACTTCAGTCTCTGGGAGCAGGCGGATGCGGCAGTGATTAGGGTTTTCATCACCACCACCCCAGTCGAGTTAGTCAAGTCCTACCGCACGTTCCGCTCTGCGCATGACATTTGGAAGTACCTCCAGGATCGCTTTCATGACAAAACTGCCGTGGGAGTTGCAATCCTCATTCCTCGCATGTTCCAAATCCGCCTTGAGGAATGCCCGGGCATGGCAGACTACATCTCTGAAATCCGCAATATCCATGAGGAGCTCAAGGACATTGGGATCACCTTCCTCGAACAGGCACCTGCTGCTGGGCTTCTCGTCGGACTCACCCCGGCCTACAACGTCACCAGTTCCATGCTCAAGCAGCTCCCCACCAAGGAACTCACCTTCGAGAAAGTCGCTTCGGCCCTTCTCTCTGCCGAAAAGGACCTTGCAGCCCAGGCATCCGTCAATGCTGTGCGCTACTCCCCTGGCATCCCATTTCGTTCCCAGCAGGGCCAGAGGCGCAACTCCTTTCCCCCATGCCAGTACCTCATTAGGAATGGTCCACGTGCGGAGCAGAAATGCAACGGCACCAACCACCCTGAGGCAACTTGCTTCAAGAAGCGAGATGACGAGTGGTATGACGTCCACGGTGTCTCCAAGGACAAGCGCCCTCCCAACTGGGCACCACCCCGTCGCGTGAACTAGGTCGAGGCAGTGGAGGAACCTGCTCAGGCATTTGCTAGTGCCCCATCTGATGTTCGCCTTAACCTGTTGTTCTCTGGTGCTGGTCTTCTTAATGAGAAGGGGTCGCAGTACATCGGTGTTTCAACCACACAGGGAATTGAGTTCATACTAGACAGTGGTGCCACCCACACAGTGCTTAAAGACCAAACTGCCTTCGTTCCCTACCAGGCTCCCACCTCACTCCTTGGAGCCGATTCTAGCTTCTCCATCCAATGCCATGGGTCCTCCACAGTTTCCTGTCCAGCTTTCCCATCCGGCACAGTCACTGGCATCTGTGCCCCTACCCTCCGCTACAACCTTCTTGCACAGCGGGAAATCCAACACGCAGGCGTGATCACCATCTTTCCTAATGATGTTGACTACTGTGACATGTTTGACGCCAAAACCGGACTCCATCTTGCCCGCTTCACCCTCAACTCCAACAACCTGTACACACTAGTTGTACCTCCCGTTCAAACATGCTCCCTCACCAACCTTCCGCTTCCATCCTCAGACTCCCCCTCATGTCACTGCCGCCTCCTCAATGACAAGACTATGCTATTTCATAACCGCCTCGGCCACATCAACTTCCGCGCACTTTCAGACCTTGCCACCAAACAACTCCTTCATGGGCTGCCCGCCTCACTTCCACAACCCCCCTCTCTTTCTGGACCACCTTGCCTTGACTGTGCACAGAGCAAGCTTCGGGAACAGCCCCATCCTCCCACTGAGTCCACCTCTACCGCACCTCTTGATCGCGTACACATGGACCTTTGGGGTCCAGCTCCTGTTCGTTCCCGTGGCGGACACTTCTACTTCCTTGTCATCGTTGATGACTATTCCCGCTATGTGTCCGTTCACCTTCTCACCGCCAAGTCTGAAGCCCCAGCCATTATCATGGAATGGGCAAGGCAGGCTCATTCACACTTCAAAACCAAAATCAAGATTCTTCACTCTGACGGTGGCGGTGAATTCCGCAACAACACTCTCAAAGCTTTCTGCTCTACTGAGGGTATTCGTCAGACCTTCACCCTCCCAGGCAGCCCTCAACAGAACGGTGTTGCTGAGAGCCGAAACCGCATCCTGGTGCAGATTGCTCGCTGCCTCCTCACTCATGCTTCCGCCCCTCCCTCTCTTTGGGGATACGCCTGTCAGAATGTTATCTTATGCTCTAGCCTGTAGTGGGGTGCTCTATAGCGAGTACAACCCTTCTAGGGTTTGCTATTTGTATCCTCATTCTTGCTAGTGCAATCCTCTCTTCTTCTCTCTTCTCTCTTTTAAACTTTAACATGCTATCAGAGCAGGTCGATCCCCTTGGATCGATCCTGTGGGTGGGCTCACCACCTTGTTGCTTCCGCTGCAACTGCTACTGCTACCCTCTGTGCCGCACGCCCCGTGGCGTGCGGCAGTTTTTCTTCCCGCCGTGCGCCCCGAGGCGCGCGGCGGTTTTCTGCCCGCCGTGCGCCCCGAGGCGCGCGGCGGTTTTCTGCCCGCCGTGCGCCCCGAGGCGCGCGGCGGTTTTCTGCCCGCCGTGCGCCCCGAGGCGCGCGGCGGTTTTCTGCCCGCCGTGCGCCCCGAGGCGCGCGACGGGTTTCTGTCCCGTCACTCGCCGCGTCGCCCCCGGGAGGCGCTGCGACGGGCGACGGGGACCCGTCGCGCCGCCCAGGGGAGCCGCGCGCGGCCCCTGCTGCCCCGTCGCGCGGCCCTGCTGCCCCGTCGCGCTGCCCAGGGGAGCCGCGCGCGGCCCCTGCTGCCCCGTCGCGCGGCCCTGCTGCCCCGTCGCGCTGCCCAGGGGAGCCGCGCGCGGCCCCTGCTGCCCCGTCGCGCGGCCCCTGCTGCCCTGTCCCGGACCTGCCCCGGCCCCGACCTGCCCCGGCCCCGACCTGCCCCGGCCCAACTCCCGTCGCCTGTCGAGGCGACCCTGGGGGGGCCGCTTGCGGGGACTTCGTCCGGTAGCCCAGTCGTAGCCAGCTGTGCCAGCCGCCCGTGGGTCCGTTGCTCGTCTGCCGCTACTTTAGCCGCGGGGCCTGTTACTCCTGTATTCCGGGGACTTCGTCCGGTAGCCGCTGTGCCAGTCTGCCTCCTGTTGCCTGTGTGTCTGCAGCTTCAGCCGTCGCCTCCTATCTCCTCTCCTCTCACTCTCTCTCCTCCTCCTCACTTGCCCGTTGTGACTACCACTAGCTTTGCTCATAATTGTGAACTTAAACTATTGCTTCTTGAACTTGTGCTCAGAATGTGTGGTGACATTGTGATCCACCCTGAGCTTGTACTCCCTTGCTTACTCTGCTGATTACACCCCACTTTGGCTATGGGGGTGTGTCAGAATGTTATCTTATGCTCTAGCCTGTAGTGGGGTGCTCTATAGCGAGTACAACCCTTCTAGGGTTTGCTATTTGTATCCTCATTCTTGCTAGTGCAATCCTCTCTTCTTCTCTCTTCTTTCTTCTAAACTTTAACAACGCCATGCTCCATGCTGCCGCCCTCCACAATCTCCATCCTCATCCTCACCACACCCACACCACCCCCGCAGAGCTGTGGACGGGTCAAAAGCCGTCCGTCCGCCCTCTTCGTGTATGGGGGTGCACTTCCTATGTTCTCCTCAACTCCCAAGCCCGTCGTGCAGCTGGCGGCAAGCTTGCTCCGAAAACAATCACGTGCGTGTACCTCGGGCACAATTCGGACTCCCAGACTACCTCTTCCTCCATCCTACCACCAACAAACTTTATCGCAGCCGAGATGTTTTCTTCGATGAATCCCACCCGTTCTACCCCTCCTCCACAGTTTCTCCTTCTCCTCCGCCTCCTTCTC